GATCACTTTTTTCATTGATATTGATGACAGCATCTATGAGGTTTGTTCAGTTGAAAAAAAATGTCTTGGTAGTGTTGACTTTTTTCCCACTAGTTAATTTCCCATTAATCTTTGTGAACAGTTTCTTTTAAATGCAAATAAATACATTTTAAAAAGCAAATAAATAAATAAATAAATAAAAAGTGAAAAAAGAAAAGGTGAGGATGCTTGGGATGTAGCTCAGTGAGAAAGTCCTGAGTTCAATCCGCATTACTCAGAAAAGAAACATCCAGTTAGTGTTTTGGGTTTTCAATATATAATTTGCTGTTCGATATTCATTCTTATCATATCTGAGCTCTGTGATACTTGTAGCATCTTTTCTGACTCAGCATAGCAATCAGGAGGTCAGGACCTTTCTGCCAAATGGAAGGGTATCTGTTCCCTCAATGGATTTGAAAAAATATTGTCAGAACAAAGGAGTTGGTTTATAAGTCCAGCTATTTTAAGTAAACAGGAAGCTGTGGGTAGAAAACTCTTGTCTTCTGAACTTGCTCCCTTGCCTGATGTCTTTGGGTTTACTTGCCTGAGTTACTTCTCTCCCTGTGTTTGCATACCTGTCGCTAACATCACCAAAACATGTGTTCTCTTGTTTCAGAGCTCCAGTATCGACTTTTTAGCAAGCCAGGGATTTGATTTCAATAAAGTTTTTCGCAATGGTAAGATTATGTATTCCTTATCTTTATAGTTTCTAATCCTTCAGAATTAAATCTGGATTTGGTTGAGAATTACTGTTTGTGCCTGCTGTGTGAAATGGAACTTTAGAGTTCCAGCACACTCCTTTATCATGACTTTTAACCAGGACAACTATGAACTCAGCAGGAGAGTGGGTGTTACTTCATTGAGTGCAAGTGAAGTCTCACAAACTTCTGATTTTATTGATCACAGTTTATTGTACTACTAGTGAATGCGTCCCTGTTATCTTCCAATGTAACAAGTAGATCGATTCCAGTAATATCATCATAAGTGTTGCTCCTTTTTATCCCTTATACATTTTTTTTATTAATGCACATTGATTGTATAGATTGATAGGTTTCATTTTGCCAGATTTGTACATATACAAATCTTTACCTTCTGTCTACTCTCACCCCCATTGTCCACCTTACCCCCTTATTTTTAATACTTTTTTGGGATTTCAATGTGTATAACATATTTTGCTCATATTCTTCCTATTACCTTCTCTTAAACTAATCTTCCCCCCTCCCCTCTTTTATTTATTTATTTTCGAAACAAACTATTTGCCAAGGCTGGTCTTGAGCTACTATTCTCCATCAGGTCTGCTGCCTCAGTTTCCCACGTACCTAGGACTACAAGTGTGCGCCACCTTGTCCAATGAAAATTCTCCTATCAGTTGATGTGTGTTTAGTACTTGGAGACAGCTTCTGCGTTTCTCCCAGTAGAAAGAAATTTTGTACAGTGTGAGTGATTGGAATGGCCAATCTGCTAATGTCCTGCACTGAATTATTTTTAAAAATTTTATTTTTTCTCATGGCCATTGTGGAATTAATGAGCAAAGTAAGGAACGATTTATTGCAACAAAAGTACTGAATTTTTCTCAAAAATACTACATAGACTTCAAATGAATCCTCTTCACCTTGTCTTTAGAACCTGTGCCCTATTGAGGGTTTTGTTTTTGTTTTTTTTTTTTTTTCCATGTATTTAGTATAAGGTCTACAGGGTCTCACTACACAGACTGGACTTGTAGTGAGCCTCCTGCTTTTAGCCCCGCAAGCGCTGGGATTACAGGTGCGCACCAGGACGCCCAGTCTCCCCTATTGAGTTTTTCATTGCATCATACTGCAGCTTAGTTTTTACTGTTGGTTTTGCTAACTGGAAGTACTAAAAAAAAGAAAAAAACTTAGGGGGAGCTCAAATAGTGATTGAGCCAGCTACGCAATACAATTTAGGTATTCTAAAGTAGTTTAAAAATTTTTGATTATACTTGATTATGAAAGATATTGTTAATCAGAAGTTGATGTTTTAGAAAACTATGGGAATAGTGCAAACATCTCCTCTTCCTCCCCCCACCCTTTCTTCGTCTTTTTGTAGTAATGGGGGTCAAACTCAGGAGCTCTGTACCACTGAGCTAATCTCCAGTCTTTTTATTTAGTCCTTTCTATTTTCTGAGGCAGGTTCCTCTTGCGTCAGCTCTCTTTGTAACTGAGATTATGAGATTATAGGCTTGTACCACCAAACCTAACTTTTTCAAATACTTTTTCTTTTGTGTTGAGAAGGAACTCAGGTTCTTGTGTCTGCTAGTCAGGTACTGCGTCACTGAACCACAACCCCAGCCCAAACATCTTTGAAAGGAATTACTTTAAATCAGTGTTCAGATGATTGTACAGTTTCTAGCACATTGTTTTATTTTTATAAAACAAGAAAAATAGCCACATTGGAATATGCCATGTTCTCTGTTTTTTAGTGAAGATCTTGGAATATTTTGGTTGCAACAGAATCAGGAGTCAAGAGGCCTGCAGTTGTCACCAAGACCTATCCCCATGTGCTGTTGGTATTCTCTAAATCTGACATAGAACCTTATTTCCTCTTGATCACGTCTTGCCATTCCAGCTTTTAAATCTCATCCTCCAGCAGTCTTCTGACTTCATTTGACTTCTTGTCAGGAAGGCAGCCTGCTAATTCTGCTGCTGCCTCCCATATCTCTTTGTGAGGTGGGTGGTTTTACTTCTTATCCTTTCTGTCTCTGGCCAGATCATGCAAGGTACAGTGTTCTTGTTTCTGTATATCACTATCAGGGCATCTGAATTTTCCCTTTTGTAGGAGTCACCATTCTTTTCTGGGCTGTGTCGCCAGCTTTGTCACACACTCCTGCTAACTTGTAGGCACATGTAGAGTAGCAGTGGCTCTAGTTTATTGTCCTTCTCTTCGTTGCTTTCCTGGCTCTGGGTGACCTCAGCATCCATAAGGATGACCAGCAAATGCCCTCTCCTCTGTTTCTTGAGCCAGTAGTCAGCAGTCTTTGTTTCTGTTTACATTTGGTCCTTCCATCCTTGCAGTGTGGTGACAGGGCTCAGCAGCAGCCCTGCCGTCTTGTTTCCCTCCGGGGTCTCTCCCTCCTAGAGCACCACTTCTTATCCTCCTCCACTGACTCCTGCTTCAGTCTGCCCACCTCCTGTTATCTCATTATACTGTGCCCTCTTGTACCTTGACTTTCTTCTTTATCTACCCACATCATTCCCTTGCTTTTCTTTATCCAGTCCTCGCTTATCTGACTGACCAGCCCCTTTTCTGTTTTGAACATCTGAATATTACTGAAAATATGGCATGCCTAGGCCAGTTCATCACTGCATTCATGGGCACAAGCTGCAAATGAGCACTCAGCTTTGTTTAAAATTCCTACTTTTCAGTCCTACCAATTCCCTGTCTTACCTCCTTTTAAGACATGTTTTTCTGTCACTCTTTCCTTTACTTTCCCACTCCAGCTCATGTCCATGCCATTTCTGGTAAAAATTGTAGCCCTTGGTGAAGGACTGCTTTCATTCTCTCCAGCAAATCCACAAGTCCATCCTGAGTCTGAACCTAGCAATTTTGCCTTCTGTTCTTGCGGTGGAGGGAGAATCATTGCACCAGTCCAAGCTAGTCTGTCTCCGCGATAGCTGCCATCACCTCTAGTTTGCCCCTTCACCCCTAAATTAGTATTTTTTGGTATGTTATTACCATCAACTTTTATAAATATGAGTACAGAGATATTTTAATGAAGGTTTTGGATGCCCTTCTCTCTCCCACCCCTAAGATAGAATTCAAGTCTGTGGTTGTGCAGGGGAAAATATTTGTGTCTATATTTTCTCCACCCTTGAGCTGGAACTGCAGTTTTTTTCATTATGAATGTAGGCAACAGCCACAATAGTGCTAACAGCTTTGAGGCTTGGTCACTCCTGGAAACCCTAGTTATATTCAGATGACATTTAGTTATTGCAGATATCTTAAATATTTGTCCACATTTATCAGTGCTTCAGAATTACTGTAGTTATTTCACCTGCCACCAGATCCTATTATTTAGTGTTTTGATTAATAAGGTGATGTATTGTATTACTACATCATGTTTTGTTTTGTTTTTTTGTTTTGTTTGTTTGAGACAGGATCTTACTGTGTAGCCTACGTTGGTCTATAACTCACAGCAGTTCTCCTGCCTCAGCCTCTCAAGTTCTGGGATTACAGGCATGTTCCATTTTGCCTGGCTTCTACTATATCATATTTACAACTAGTTCTATAACTATTTCATTATAATTGCCGTATTCGCCCAAATAAATAAAGACCAAATTCTTCACTTATTCTCTGTCCTATTTCCTTTTTACCACATAATGTTCCCACTCAGAGCAAATAAACTAGTGAGGTGTTTTTACTATTTCTACTTCCTTTGTTTTCCTTCTTCCCTCCCTCCCCATGGTGGAATAGAACCAGGACCCCATCGATACTTAGCAAGCTTTGTACTGTGTAGCTACATCTCCAGGCCCCTCTTCAGTTTCTTCACCCCATGTGAGGTGAGCTTCTTGCTTCGGTTCTCCATGAACGCTCTGCTAGCCACCTGCTCTGAGGTCTACTATGATTTCAAATCCAGTGGATCCCTCTTTGTCCACATCTTACTCTTCCTTGCTTTCAGTAATATTTGATCACTGTCTCTTGCCTCTTATGTCTAGCACTCTCCTCCTGACTTTAGTGCTCTTTGTGTCAGTACTAGAGATGGAGTCCAAAGCCTTTGCACTGAAACTACTACTCAGGCCTTTTTTATTTTTTCAAATTTTGAGACGGAGTTTTGCTAATTTCTGGAACTTGTGAACCTTTTGCCTCAGCCTCCCAGAATGTTAGGATTACAGGTATGTGCCACCATGCCTGGCAAGTACTCTTCATTCTTCTGTTTTTGCTCTTGACTCACTCTTGGCTCCTTAATATCCTGATTGAGGACATTGCTTACCTCCCCAGCTTAGAGTTATTACTTTCCCTAGTTGGTCTTGTACTTTCATGTTTTTATTATTTTTATTATTAAATTATTTATGTACATACTTGTGGTTCAGGGTCTCAAACTGAGGGCCTAGCTCATGCTAGGTAGGCACTCTACCACTAAGTTACTGACCCTCTACTATTTTGAATCCAGAACTATGCTTCTCAGTCTGTTGTTTTATTACTTAAATTTTCTTTTTTATTAATTAAATTTATTTATATATTTTAGATATATTAGAATGATCGCATTCATCATAGGGAGTTTTTAACCTGTACATGACATATCTTGATTCTTTTTTTCCTGTTCTTTTACTCTACCTTCAACCCTTTCCCCTTCCTTATTTACAAAAGCTTTGTTTCCATTTTTTTCTTTTTTTTCTCATTTTCTTCTTTTCCTTTTTCCCCTCTTCTCCTTCCTCCTCCCTAGTTTGCTTTCCCATTTGAACATTTTTTTCCTGTTTCACAAAATACTTTCAAAATTTTGAATAGTAGAGGTTATCTTGTAGAATACCCATTTGCATGGACTTGCCCCATGCATTTAATTTTTTTTTTTTTTTCAGAACCAGGTATTGAACTCAGACCCTTGCATTTACCTGTCAAGCGCTTTTCTATTGAGCTGTCTCCCCAGCCCCTGGTTTTTTAAGTCTGTCCAACTGCATTTATTAATTTTCAACAGGAATAGCACAGAAGTAATTCATATATACCCTTAGCTAATTTAATATGTCAGGTGATAACTTTTTCATTTCCACCCCAAGAGGGTGGTCAGTGCCTGTCTTCGCGTTTTATTCCTCCTTCTCAATTTTTTAAACTAGGTAATTTTCATTCTTGATTTGGTCTTTCTTTGTATGTCTTGCTGCCAGTATTTAAGTCCTGTCTGTCTTACTTGAAAATCATTTTCTCCTATTCTGTCATCTCCATGTTCTAAGCCAGGGTCACAAATGATAACTTGCCCCTTTTTTCTGTGTTGTCAAAAGCCTTCCTGGATCACAGCCATGCCCATACGTGTGTGTTGTGCATGGCTGCTTCTGTGCAGGATTGAGCACTGGGACAGAGATCCTTATGGGCAACAGGAAAAGTTACTGCCTGTCCCTTTAGGAAGAAGCTTGCTGATCTCTGATGAGAGCTGTTAGCTCTTGCTCCTAACTGATCTCCTTATATCTGCTCCCATTGCTGTCAGCATGACTTTTTAAACACGAATTAGATACTGTTCTTATCTTAAAATCTTCTCATAGGGTCCTAGCGCTCTTTGAAAACATAAATTTCCTATCGTGACTCATAAGGATCTAAAAATCTTGCCTCATTCACTCTCCAACTTGTCATACTATTTCCCTTTTATTCACTGTGTTCTGCTTACAGCAGCTTTTTGCTGTTTCTGTAAAGGTCCAAGCCATTTCTACCTTCTGTGCATTTATACTTGTTCCCTGCCCTGGTTCTCATTTTTCAGGATTCACTGACAGTGGCTTTTTTTTCTGATCATCTGGTCAGAGGTAGTTCTCCTGAGTACAGAGCAGGATGTGTCTGCTTGTTCATCATCAGCTGCCAGTTCCTCATACAATGCTTGGGACAGCATTAGTGCTGAATATGTATTTGCTGAAAGAAAAATGAATGAACAAACATATTACAAAATCACTTACTTTCTCTGTTGATTTTCTTAAATGTAAATGAATGTATTATGTAGTTTAAAATTTTTTATGTGAAACAATTACTTCTGCTAATAAATTCTTTTTAAAATCACATATAGGAATTCCATATTTAAATCAGGAAGAAGAAAGACAGTTGAGAGAGCAATATGATGAAAAACGTTCTCAGGCCAATGGTGCAGCAGTTCTGGCGTATGTGTCCCCTAACACTTCAAAATGTCCTGCGACAGTTCCTGAGGACCAGAAGAAATTTATTGACCAAGTAGTGTAAGTTTCTAAAGTGAAGTCAAATGCACATTGGGGCCACACTGATGTCTGTATCTCTTACCTGTGCCGCAGAGAGTACACGTGTAGATGTGGTGTTGCAAATAGCAGGATCTAAGTGTGGCGTATCTGAATCTGCACAGCCACAGCAGATGGTTCTCCTGTGTAGCATACTTGAATTTGCTCCATGTCACTAGGCAGGAGACTTTAGCAAGTAGGTTTTGCAGTTATGTCCAGTGGATCAGACCCTTCCAGGTTACCGTACATAGGTGTTTGGTGTTGCAGTGACAAGCAAGGATGCCATTGGAGCAGTACTAGTCTTGCTTAGTTTGGTAGCAGTATAATTGTTGTACTAGAAAAAGTAAGACTTAAATCACTGAAATAGGTGTATCTGTAGAAACTGTCATGATTCATCAATGGCAACAATAATCTTATCTAAATCCTATACCATAATCTTTTTTTTTTTCATTTGGTAACAATTTTTTATAAACCACTTAATATTTTTGTACAGAGAATGCTATGCAACCAAAAATAATATTTTAGACTTTTTTTTTATCCAAGCTTTGACTTCTGGGTGTCAGCAAAGTGTGGAAACTTTTCTTGCAGAATTTTCTGTTTCTTTTTCTCCAGACACCTCTTTCTTGCTCTAATGCAGGCCCGTTTCTCATTTTTCAGTCTGACAAAATGGTCCACATAAGGCATTGCAAAGAATCGTTTCCTGTTGTATCTTTTATTTAG